ATATATATATATGTATATATATATATGTATTTATATATATATATATATATATATATATATATATATATATATATATATATATATATATATATATATATATATATATATATATATATATATATGGGTTGTCATCCAAAGAAAAGAAGAAACTAGTGGCGAGAGTTTTGTGCATTTTCGGTAATCCAAGAGGTCTCAAGTTAATTACGGGGCTCCTTCGCCCTTCTCTCTTCCCCCTACCTGTAATGACTCCATGATCCCTATCTCATACATTTATTATTATTATTATTACTTTCAATATTTTATTATTATTATTATTATTATTATTATTATTATTATTATTATTATTATTATTATTATTATTATTATTATTATTATTATTATTATTATTATTATTGCGGTGGTTATTATTATATTACCTGTATTTGCTATTGTGCTTCTGACTCTTCTATATTATTATTCTTGAAAATAGACAAGTATATAAAGATATACACATTTCTATAAATATACAAAATTATGAAATAAAGAAAAAGTTTTTTATGCATATAATCTACAGAGTACCTCTCTCTCTCTGGCTATTTTCTTTTCCCTCTGTAAGTGACGTGAACCCACGTTCTTTTCGACAATCTAGAGATCTATTTGTGCCAAGAACAAGAACAGATTTGGGAGGAAAGTCAATAACTGTTAGAGGACCTAGAGCCTGGAACAACATCCCAGATGATGTAAAAGACTCCTCATCATTTCAAGCATTTAAAAGGAAGCCTAAATCTTATTTTTTCAATTAACTATATAATCAATAACTGTAATAGATGAAAAAGATCACTATTTTACATTTTTTGACAATTTTATTTTTTAGATGTATAAGTTCTCACAGTAATGATTTTATTTTGTATATAGTAAGTAATTTACAGTACTTTGTACTGTAAATTATGAAGAATAACCAATGTATCTTTTGAAAATAAACTTTTTGATTTTATTTTATTTGACTCTCTCTCTCTCTCTCTCTCTCTCTCTCTCTCTCTCTCTCTCTCTCTCTCTCTCTCTCTCTCTCTCTCTCTCTCTCTCTCTCTCTCTCTCTCTCTCTCTCTCCTTCCTAGCTTGCCTTGCAATAATCAGATTATGGTTATTGCTTGCTATGAACTTTTAAGTAATCATAATACTGAATTTCGCTATTTGCAGTTTTCAGCAGAATGAGTATTGGTGTGGTTAATCTGCCTCTCGGCTGAATGTTCCGCAGCGCCGGTAATGATGCTGTGTTTAGTTTTCGTGATCGTAATTTTATCCTTATAGTTCTGCCAAGAACAACAGCACAGTTATTAATTACTTGTTGATTATGAAAATTATTATGAGAGTACCATTATAACTAGCAGCTCAGATATTGTATTAATGCTGTTTAATGCATAAAAATCATTATGCCCATCTTGTACGGCAGAAATGAGCTACAAATTTTTTTTTATGGGGTTTTGAATTTCATTGCACTACGGTCATTTAACAGCATGCATAATAACTGTTGTTAATTATCAAATGTTTATTTGCCATATTGAAACTCACTGGTATAATAGTTAACAGCACGGTTATTGGTGGTATTACACATTTAGTAATTTGATTTTTGTGTATCTTATTGGCATGCATTATAATCAAGAGATAGATTATTGATATTATTAAAAGCTTAATAACTAGGTTGAATAACCAGCACCGCGATTAGTGATGAAGTTGAATGCTTAATCACAAAAAAAAATTTGTCAAGTGTCTGTTTTATCCGAAATTCATCCCCTATGTTCATGGTCTCGTATTGTTAATGACTTCTTAGTCGATCCATAATAGGCCAATTGGCAAATTGGACACTTAAAAATATATACTGCCAATGAACAGAATGGTTGAGGTAGTTGTTCTTTATGATTTAAAAATGTTTCAAGTTTAAAGTTATTATAAAATTTTAAAGTAGGGGTAATTTGTGGACAATATCTCTTAAATAAATGTGAGATCATTTTCAAGAAAGGAGTTCGTAACGTTACCCATAAATGAAAAGTTGAAAAATAACATGTGTTTCTGTTGTTCTTATCTTATGGGTTTTAGAGAAAACGTCATGTTTAAAATAATTTTCAATGATCTGTGTATCATATTAGAATTAAAACCATTTTGTATAAAACAAATATCCAGAAAGGACACTTCTTCATCAAATTTAATGTAGGTGGATGTTAAGCGACATTCCCTTGCCCGTGAAACATGATTTGCGATAAATACTAATTTCCAGTTTATTGTTGCTTTTCTTCTTCAATAGATCTAAAAAGGGGATTTGATTAATATTCTCAATTTCCATACTAAAACTAATATTGCTATGTTTGTTATTTAGGTAATTCAAGATTTTTCTTCACTATGACTGTTCTAGCCTTAAAATATTATAAAAGTATCGTCAACGATGCTCATATAGAACACTGGTTTAAACACAACAGGGCACTCATTTAACCAATGTTTCTCGTGGTGAAATAAAAAGATATTTACCAATGGGGCAGACAAGGGATTACCTAAGGCCAAACCATTTACTTGTTTGTAAAAAGTCTCGTGGAACATGAAGAAGGAATCGCCGACAGCCAGTTGAAGCATCTGTTTGAATTCGTTTTTTAACATACCTCTAAAGCCTCCATCATTAAATATTAAGTCGGTGGTTATGTCAGTTACTTCACTTACTGGAACATTTGTGTATTAGAACATTTTGTCATAACTTGTAAGGAGTGCATTTTCATTTATATTCATGTTCATTAATTCCTAATATATTATCATGAGAATTATTAAGGCTGCATTGATTCTTGGAATATATATCGATGTGGGGAAGAATATATTTGGATAAGTTATAGTTGTGAGTTTTGAAGGAGGATAAAACGGGTCTTAATGGGACATTTGGCGTGTGCTCTTTTGGGAGACCATACATTATACCTGGGTTTGATGCATTCGCATATATTTGTTTGTATTCGTTTTCTTTGATGTTTCCGGAGTCATGCATTTTCTTCAAGAACCTGTTAACTTGATCTTCTAACAATAAATTATGTTTTATTGGATCACAATGATCTACTTGTTTAAAGGTTGAAGCATCATTCAGATTTTGAGCATTTTCGTTATTTAAAAAGAACAAGAGCTTAATTATCTGTAGACCTGACAAAGGACGAGACTGGGACTTGAACCTAGGTCACATAATTACTAGGTTCAAGTCCCGGTTGGGATAAAAATTATTTATGTTTTCATTTATGGTAATATATTTATTTGATTATTGTATATCCCAAATGAGATTGAGATTTGAATTAAATGAAAAAACGAAGCTACAAGTGAGGTTGGGACAAACTGTTATATGAACAGAGTGGCATTCAGATAGAATGCCTTCGTTCCTAACATAGCAGATATAACTGTAAGGTTTGTTTCCCTTTTAGACCTTCTGTGGTGTAGTTGGTATTACCTTGGCACAGTAATTATGTGTCCTAGGGTCAAGTCCCGGTCGTGGTAAAAACTATTAATGTTTTCACATATGGTAATGTGCTTATTTGATAATTGTTGATTCCAAATGAGATTGAGATATGAATTAAATGCGAAAACGAAGCCAAAAGTGAGGTTGGGGGAAACTGTAATATGAACAGAGTGGCATTCAGATAGAATGCGTTTATTACTAGTATAGCAGATATAGCTGTAAGGTTTGTTTCCTTCTGTGGTGTAGTTGGTAGCACCTTGGCCCTAAAATTAAGTGTCCTAGTTTCAAGTCCCGGTCGGGGTAAAAATTATTCATATTTTCACATATGATAATGTGCTTACTTAATTATTGTTGATTCCAAATGAAATTGATATTTGAATTAAATGCAAAAACGAAGCCACAATGCGTTCATTCCTTGTATAGCAGATATAGCTGTAAGGTTTATTTCCCTTTTAGACTTTCTGAAGTGTAGTTGGTAGTGCCATGGCACAGTAATTATGTGTCCTGGTTTCAATTCCCGGTGGGGGTAAAAATTATTCATATTTTCACATATGGTAATGTGCTTACTTGATTATTGTTGATTCCAAATAAGATTGATATTTGAATTAAATGCAAAAACGAAGCCACGAGTGAGGTTGGGGGAAACTAATATGAACAAAGTGGCATTCAGATAGAATGCGTTCATTCCTAGTGTAGTAGATATAGCTGTAAGGTTTGTTTCCCTTTTAGACCTTCTGTGGTGTAGTTTGTAGGAGCTTGGCACAGTAATTATGTGTCCTAGGTTCAAATCCAAGCTGGGTTAAAATTATCCATATTTTCACATATGATAATGTGCGTATTTGATTATTGTTGATTCCAAATGAGATTGAGTTTTCTATTAAATGCGAAAATGAAGCCACGAATGAGGTTGGGGGAAACTATTATATGAACAGAGTGGCATTCAGATAGAATGCGTTCATTCCTAGTGTAGTAGATATAGCTGTAAGGTTTGTTTCCCTTTTAGACCTTCTGTGGTGCAGTTGATAGCACCTTGGCACAGTAATTATGTTTCCTAGATTCAAGTCCCAGTTGGGCTAAATTTATCAAGTTTTCACATATTGTGATGTACTTATTTGATTTTTTTTATTTTATCCCAAATGAGATTGATATTTGAATTAAATGCAAAAACGAAGCCACGAGTGAGGTTGAGGGAAACTGTAATATGAAAATAATGGCATTCAGATAGAATGCATTGATTACTACTATAGCAGATATAGCTATAAGGTTTGTTTCCTTCTGTGGTGTAGTTGGTAGCGGCTTGGCACAATAATTATGTGTCCTAGGTTCAAACACCAGTCGGGGTAAAAATTATTCTTGTTTTCACATAAGGTAATGTGCTTATTTGATTATTGTTGATCCCAAATGAAATTGAGATTTGAATTAACTGCAAAAATGAAGCCAAGAGTGAGGTTGGGGGAAACTGTAATATGAGCAGAGTGGCATTCATATAGAATGCGTTCATTCCTAATATAGCAGATATAGCTGTAAGGTTTGTTTCCCTTTCAGATCTTCTGTGGTGTAGTTGGTAGCACCTAGGTACAGTAAATATGTGTCCTGGGTTCAAGTCCCAGTCGGGGTAA